AGCACCGGACGATGTCCCAGACGTGGACATCTTCCCGAAGGCCGCAGTTGCCTGGAGTCGTCATGGTCTGACAGACGAAGAGACGAACTCGTGGAGAGCCTGTGTTCTGCCAGTTGCAGCCACAGCTGCCCCAAATCATGGAGGAGGATGAGGACCTCCAGGTGCGACGGGAGGGACCTTTGGCGCAGAGAGCGGGATCGATATCAAGTGCTCCCTCTGGCGCCCAAGAGCCCCAAATTCCGTACTTCCAGGACGGTGCGGCGCTCCCGCTCAGTCAGCACCCTCACTCAGCCGTTACTCGCTCTCCTTTCGACGTTGAGTGCGCCGAGTGGTTCACATACTGTACGTGGTCCGAACCAGCACGTTTGACGTCCGAGCTTCTGAGAAGTCTTTTGGGCTCTGAGGTCGGAGGCTGATCTGCCAGCAGCTCGGAAAAGGGCCCGGACGAATTCAGAATGGGGTTGTCAGGAGAAATTGTTGCATGGTGCTCAGCTTCGGGGGGATGTGAAGTGATGGACTTTGCTGTGCACAGGGCCGGGACCTTCGAGCCGTAAAAGCCTGGAGCCTCGCTTGCCGAAGCCACGCCCTGTCCGAGACCGCACCTTTTTTTTGTGAAGATGCAGCACGTCCTTGCATTTCTTCTGCTGCCGACAAGCTTTGCTGCTCTTTCGCCGAACCCGAGCTCAGAATGCGAAGCTTCGGAGGCCTCGTTGCTGCAAACAGCGAGCAGCATGAGCTGCTCACCGCTTCCTAGCATCACCTGTGACGCGCAGTCTGGTCAGATGCCACGGGCACACAGCAAGAGGCAGATGAGGCTTGTCAAGGACCTCGATCCCTCCATTGGACTGACCCCATGGAACTGCTCCCTGTGCTACAATGATCCCAATGCTGCCACGGTGTACGGCGTTGAGCGTTGGGATGGGTTGGGCCAGAGGGCAGCAAGCCTAATCAACTTCATGGCGCTGGCAGCCCATCTGAAGCTCAATTTTGGTGGCCTCCTGCCGAACCCTTCGGAGAGGGAGCACGGGGTGTACATCCCCAAGTGCATGACGCAGCTTTTTGGAACCAACTACAAGGAACTTCGAAGATTCGCTCCCGAGCCCCACTTCGACATTTGCCTCTTCGGGCCAGAGGCCATCCAAGAGGCCGTGAACGAGAAGCTGGGCTCTTGTTAAGGAATCTAATTTAAGTTACCAGAATAGGGATCTACCGTAAATAATACCGTTTCTTTATTCTGGTAACTTACTTTGAATCCCTAACAAAGAACCCAGGAAGCCTTGGCGGAAGCACCAGAGCATTCTCATCGAAGAGTGCGGCAATGGCCGGGAGTTTGTGGACTACCTGACGCCGGACTTTCAAGAGCGGCTCCGGCAATCGACCGGACTCCAACGATCGGGGGCCTTCCACTTCGCCGGGCCAGCTGTCAAAGTCGCTGTGCATGTTCGCCGCGGTGACTTGACCAACCGGGAACATTGGGCACATCGAAATGTGGCAGATGAGATTTACATGGGGCTCATTCAGGCAGTGCAGGAGGTCTTGGAGGAGTTGGGACGGAAGGCCGAGGTCCATGTCTTCAGCTCCACCGAAGGTGGAAAATTCTCCTCGGAGGACTTCGATGGTTACAGGTCCAAGAAGATGCAGGTGCACCTGAATGGAAAGGTGCGGGTCAAGAAACTCCATTTCTACTTTTTGTAAAACAAAGCCCAGCTCTACTGCTCGGCCGGTGCTCCCTGAGGAAATCGATGATTGGACTCACATGACCCATGCCGATGTCCTCATCCAGGCCCCCAGTGCTTTCTCCTGGGTGCCCGGCGTCCTGACTCTCGGCAAAGGTCGCAGAGGCATGTATGTTTTCGGGCGACTGAACCAACCTGAACCCAGCTGTGCATGTCCCGACTGAATCGCATCCGAGGAACTCCAAGTGCGTGCTGGCTTTCGACTCGCATCACGGCGGGAGTTCGCTTGTGGGACCCCATAGTGCAGTGTTTTGAAGATGCCCCATGTGCACCCAAGTCCATAGGGCCAGACAGGCAGATTGCCAGAAACGTGACGCTGAGGTATCCAAAGCCTCTGGAAGACTGGATCGTGCATACACAGGGCCAGCTTGACTTTGCCAACAAGCAGCATCTGCGTGACTGTATCTCCAAAAAGGTTTTTCCCTCCGGTGAAGTTTAAAACTTGAATTCCGGAATGCCTTGCACCGACTTCACGAGGAGGTTTCTGGGCTGACCCGATGGCAACCAGCCAACCTCGGAACGAGTCACCAAAGCTTTAGTGACAACTGCTCATGGGGGTCCCAGCAGAGGCTGCGACCCAGACAAAGACATAGTTCAGGCACGCCTGGTCCGCTCTGCTGCAGCAGTTTCGGAGACCGAAAAGGGCTCAGTGTGCCTCCGGAGCCTACCGTGGCTTTTGCTCAGCCCTGAGCCGTACCTGCGAATCTCTCAGGTTGAGGGGCAGTCGGCGGCTCCGTCGGGAGCCCGGCCCGATCTTGGCTTTGGCCTCCTGAACCAAAGCCGACCTGAACCTGAACATCCGTAGTACTACTTGAGACATCCATCCGTATAGTCTTCCCTTCTTCCGGACCCGTGAAGTCTGCCGGAAGCGCGGAAGCCACCCGTCAGGCGAGCAGGAGGACCAAACCAGGCGCGATGCGGGAGAAGTGGGGTGAGGGATAGAGTTCTGGTGCGAAGCAGGCCGCTTCAAACGTGAGTCCGATTCTGCTACACAGCAGTCATACAATGGCAAAGAGTTTTTTTCCAAAAGGTAACAGCTTTCGCTAAGCTGCAACAGTAACAGCCAGCCCATCAAGGGGAGTCAGCGCAGTAGCTTTCAGCTCTTCCATGCTCTTCCTGCAGCTGTCTTCATAGCCTTGATTGCAATCTCGTCTGTAGGAAGTCTCCGTCTTTGAAATCCCCAGTCCAGAAATAAAGGCAGACTAATGTGGGGGGCAGTTGTCAGAAAAGACTTGCTGCGAGCAGACGTGACGGACAAGTGGGGCAAGATTGGAGTCAGATTGAATTTAGCCGGGCGCAGGCAGGAAGAGCGGAACGAACCTGGCAATCGTTGGGGGGGTCCGGAAGGCATAGCAGCTTAGAGCGGGAGAGCCTACCTTGTTCAAAAAATTTTGGGGTGGAATATATATATATATATTAATAATATTATGAATAATAATAATAATTACATATATATATATATATATCGGGAGCTAGACATTTTCGGACAGGCCCAGCTCGCCGGAGCAGCCGTCACCGCCTCCTGGCAGATTTTCATGCTGTGATCCCTCATTACTAAAGCATCAGGGAAATCAAAAGGAGTCGAAAGGGGACAAGGAGTACTCATGCCCGGGGGAAGAAGGCATCTGCATGACCTCCGGTTCTGTTTTTCATGAAGCTTCTGCTTTGCTCTGACACCTGATTTCCGTTCACGCCCAAGAAATGCTTGCGGGGTCTCGCGGGGACGGGGCAATCTTAAGATGGCCCTGAAGCATCCATAAGCCATAAGCTGGCAGGAAAATACAGAAGCAAGCCTCACCCGTCCGAGGTCCAGTAATTCGCATCAGCTCGGAGCGATGAGCACCGAGCAGGGAAGCGACGCCGACCTGCTTTCGCCAGTTTTCGTATGCCATCTGAGAACAACCGTCAGATCGTCATAGCAAGGAGCTTTATCGTCTGAACAAGAGGGCAACTGGGCAACACAAGGACGACGGAAGTGTAGGCCCCTTCCCTTGCACCGACGGGCCTCTCTCAGAATGCTCCAGCAGGAATATCCGCTGACTCCGAAGTTGGAATCAACACTAAGCTACGACAACAGAGGGCAGCGAAGCTTGAGCCTTCTGCACCCAGATCCCGAGCCTTACGCCACGACCCCTATGAGAGGCTTGCTGAGGATGCAGCGACTAGCTCAGGGCGAAAAAAAGTGATTTCAGAAGCTCTTCCACATGCACCACAGGCGTAGTGTTTTCTTTGGGTCCTGCCTTGGGTTGTAGTTGTGACCGATGTACTCAAGCGTGTTGGCAGCCGCCGGCATGCTTGCAATGCAGCAAAACAATGCTGGCGACCCACAGATCATGGCATCCGAGCTATGTTACACTTCATCTACTAACTGGTTGACTGTCCGCGTGCTGCCTGCCTGACTCACTGATTGACTGATTGTTAATTGGTTGGTTGGTGGATTGGTTGGTTGCTTTACTGTTAGAAAATTTGTTGATTTCATCATCAACCAATGAACAACCAGTCAATCAATAAGTTGGTTGCGTGTTTCTTTCACAAAGAAGTACATACATGTTGATCGAACGAACGAACGAATGCATGCATGTATGCATGGATGGATGGATAATTAAAGGTAGGAATGGAGGAATTCGTTAATTAATGAACGAATGAATGAATGAGTGTGCGTGAGTGAGTGAGTGAATGAAGGATTAGAACTATAGTCAGCAAGCTGATTCTTTCGTTAACGGATGTTAGCGGGTAGTTATTGACTAATTACTTGATGGTTTCTTTTGATCAACTACTAATGATTCAATCAGTCAAACACTGGCCTAGAGAGCTAATCGTGAATTGTCTCGCGATTTAAGCAAAAACTCAGCTAATCAGGTTAGCATTGGTTAGTTAGGTAGCCTTTCAACTAGATCTTTTGGTTAACTGATTATTTATTCCATCAGCCGATCAAGCAACCAGCCTATCAGTTAATCCATTACGCACTTGATTGGCTAACTAATTAATGACTGAACCAACTATCCAAACAGACGAAATTGAGTAGGCATGCGTATGAGAATTGTATGCATGTCTATGTGTTAGTATCTGTATCCCAAGTCTATATTTCTATATGTCTGCACGTATGTATGTATGTATGTATGTATGTATGTATGTATGCATTCATGTATGTAATGTAATGTAATGTAATGTAATGTAATGTAATGTAATGTAATGTAATGTAATGTAATGTAATGTAATGTGATGTGATGTGATGTGATGTGATGTGATGTAATGTAATGTAAT